CCCCAAAACCCCAAAACCCCATTAGACTCTGAGAAAGATGGCAAGATATTTATCGAAATTAAGAAACTAACTTATTATTATATTTGCTTATCAAAAAGGGCTACTAAATTTCAAAGAATTGAAGTTATAATTTAATTTCAAATTTTGCTATATATTCCTGCAGGCTTTCTTCAATCCTTAAGTGATACTAACATATAATGATAAAATCTTAGAAGGATATTTCATTATATAATATAAATTAATTTTCATTTTATAATTATTAAATATGTCAAAAACTCAATTATTTCAGTGTTTTACCTTTCTCGTAATATAGTAAGTACATTTTGCGAATATGTTAATGAATCCCTTTTAGGATTTTGAGAGTCCAGAGTACTCTTTGTTTTTAATCACTGGCAAGTACTTATTAATTTTCCAAGCGAGATAATTACACAGGAAACATTTATTATTCTATGATTGAGACTTTAGATAATAATTAAGGTTATCAATTAATTGGTACTGCTTAATGGATCAATAATACTGAAAAAGTAGCTTATTATGATATTTTCACATAAAAAATGAACTCTCAATTTAAACCATTGAACTTTAGACTCTATAACATAACCTATACTTAAATTCCAACATAAAGTTTATATTAAGTACTATCTTAATCCAGACAAGAGATCGGTTTAATCTCTGAAGATTATAAATGCTTGGGAATTTTGAATCTAACAGATGGAAATGTTATATTGGCATTATGCTATTCTGAAATTGGTCCTTATATAATGAGTACTCAAATAGTCAAATAATACATTTACATTATTTTATTTGATAAGTTTACAATTAAATCATCAGAAATAACTTGCATAGTGAAATTTGAAATGGTAACATTAAATTTAATTATAATACTTTCATTTTATTAAATATTTTTATTCTTAATTATCTTTTAGATTCAGAAAATTTTTAAGGTATTTAAGTTAGCATTTCCTACAGGCAATATTTTTGTTGCGTAGTAAAGTAGTTATAATGAGAATTAGAATTAATTAACATTGACTTTATTTTAAGTTCCTACTACTTTGAACATAATTCTTATAGCCAAATTAGGATTACCAGAACTCAATCAAAATTAATTCTATTTAATAAAACAGGATGAGTAGAAAAATACAATCTATTAAACTAAATAAATTTCCAAAGAAATAGGAGGAAAATTTTATTTCTATGAAATTATTATCGGATTTATCTTGCCAGAGATGTACAACTTCATTAGCTTATATCAGCAATAAGAGACTTAGAGTAAACAAGCCAATATGAAACTTATCAGGAGTTTTGTGTTTATTCACGATGATTATCTAGATTTGCTTAATATTTATCTCGATCCAATTAAAAATAAATTGGCAGTTGCATTCTTTGCTCCATAACTTTCAGTCAATTTACGCTATTCTATTTTTACTGTATTAGATTACTCAAATTAAGGAAGAATTATGCAAGAGTTTAGAAAGATTTACTCATCGGCTAATGGCTATCAATTCCTATTTATAAGATTTAAATATTCTAGTCTTTATGAAGGATTAATTTGTGGTTTTATTAAAGGAAACTAATTCTCTACATCTGTAGCACTGGCCATCTCATATCCATTTCCCTATTATTTTGATTTAGCTTCTAATGCATATTCAACTGTTGATATCAATTCTGTTGAAATTATTGAATTAGGCTAATCAGTAGAAGCTTTGATTAAGGACTCAGATCAATTTACTGCTCTCCCATTTTACTTTGGACTAAAGGATTAAGCTCTAAAAAATGACACCTACCAATTGATTTAAAACACTAACAGGACTCTCAAGATATAATAAGTAAATGAAAAATTTGAATATTTAATAGGGAATCCAGCATTATTCATTAGATTTTAGCCATGTATTTACGATTAGTAATGTTAAGATTTAATAATAACCTACACAATATCAACTGAGAATCTCAAAATCTTGCCTTAATTTTTCAGATTCGTGGATGATTAACTCTTGCTTATAGTTTTAACTGATGATTTATCATATTCTGGCGATTACTTACTGACCCTTACTTGTAGTCTGGTGGATGAATTCTCTAATTCTACAAGTTTTTATGTCAATCTAGCTAAATCAAAAGAATAAAACGTTTACTAACCAAACTATCCTCCATTATTCTATTTAGATCCAAAAAATATCACATTGATGGCAGGCAGTAAGTTGAAACTAAGATTGCCAGACTATTTTGATCCGAATCCTAAAGATAAAGTTAAGATAAGTGTTTAGACTTTAAATAAGTACCCTTAATTCTTTTAATTACTGGATGGAAACTTCTTAGAAGTTAATGCTGGGATAAACGAGCTGAAAACATTTTAGATAATAATTACATTAAAGGATAATAACATTAGACCATTGGAAACATAATACTTGATATATGCAACATTCATACCGACAGATGAAGGTTAAATGAACAATACCAACATTAAAATTACAAATAATACAAAAATTGATATTCAAAAAGATCTTGGATTAGACAGCTAGATTTATGTAGGCAAATTATCACCACAAGGAATAATAATAATTTAGTTTGAAAAACCATTAAATCTCAGTAAGGGAAGAGAGCAACTAGAGCTTTAAATTCATAAAGGAATAGATGTTTAATCTAATAATCCTGAACTATAGCTGAGCTGGTAAATTACAGAAGTTTAGTCTAATTAGTTCAGCATTCAAATTAAATTCTCAAATCCATTGATAATATCTTATTATGATGTA